TAGAAAAAAGTATTCCATATTAGGGCAATTGATCCTACATGATCACATAATTCTACATTAAATACTTAACATCGCTGGAATATTTTGTGAGAAGCTATTAAAAAGTCTACTTTATTGAAAAGAGCGATGGATATAATCGAAGAGCATCAGCAACAAAGTGTTTAGTTACTGTATCCAATAAAAGTAATTATGATCAGCCCACCCTAGGTCGCAAAGTTGAGTTCCTCGATATCCGATACGCGATTCGAGGGTAACGACCCAGTCAACTTCAATTACTGGAATTTTATTGAAACTCGCATGACGCACACAAGTGCAAAGATTTCGTAAGGCGACGGTACAATTTCCTCGAACGAAGCCCAATAAACTGAATAACGAGGTCCTCAGAACTCGTCGAATACTAAGTTTATGATACGGATGCGAAACATGCGACATTTTCTAAGAATATTTATAAACCAACTAATTAACAAGTTGTCGAGATAATATGAGTTGCGCTGTTTTCACGAAATTTACACTTTACCATCATCTTCGATGCGCAAACTGAAATATTTCTCATCACAATTAACTACGATAAGTACGTTTTAAAGTACGTATTAAATATTATGTTAAAAATTTTAAATTAAGAATCAGTAATTAAATATAAAAATACGGAATATTACCCACTTAATACCACGTGATTCACATTGAGGACCACTGGTTTACATAGATATTCCATCCCTGAGTCGACAAGTATAAATGGGTAATTTTAAAACCACGATTGAGATAAAATTGTATGGAAAAAGAAAAACAAATCTTTATTTTTGTATTTTAAGTTAATTACTTGAAAGAAGAAAACACCTACAGTTGAAACGTCGCATAATACAACAAATCGATATTTATTACAATTTTAAAACTACGATTGAGATAAAATTGTATCGAAAAAGAAACAAATCTTTATTTTTGTGTTTTTAGTTAATTACTTGAAAGAAGAAAACACCTACAGTTGAAACGTCGCATAATAAAACAAATCGATATCAACCTATCACAGCCGAAGTTGAAAGAAAATAAAAAATATTTCGAGTTGCAAATTTATGAAAAACGAATATCATTTCAACGTTATTGCATTTGCCACTGTGCAACTGTTGTAGAGTTTACGTAGTATTAAATGGAGTTTCCGTACGTTGTGTAAATCGAGTAATAACCAGGAATATTAATGATGCAAACCAACTGAAAATTCTCCGGTGAATAAGTATCGCGGGAAACCCAGGAACAAGAATGGCGGTTCGAACCCCAGGACGGTTTCCAGGCTAATACACCCTGCTGTCGCTTCGCGCAAGTGGTATAACGAGGACGACAAAGAAGAAGCAATTCACCCTCGGTTCCCAACGTTTTCCAACGTTTCCCCCTGATCTTCTGCCTGGTTGCAGGTGTACCCCTGCGCGACCTCCATCTTCCCCTCGAACTCGGGAAAATGTATGATACGTCCGCTCGCGGAGTTTAACCGCCATTTTTCCCGTGATAAATGAAATTGTTCCACGCTGGGCAAGCGTGGCGGTTGTCACTGCAAACGTTGCCTCAGCGTGCATTCTCTGGCCCGGCTCGAAAAATGTCGTAGCTAAGGGACTAAATAGAGTTTGCGACCTGTTAGTCGCCTGGATGGTATACGTGGACATGGATTGATGGATAGAGTGTTCCATCTCTTCGAATAATTTTATTTCTCTACGGTTCCCTTCGCGAAACAGTTTCTAGACAATTCCGAAGGAAGTTCATTTCTGCCAGATATTTCGATTCTTTCCATCGACTGTAAACATTTTTAATTGCACGATCCAATTGGGTTTGAAAACAGTGTCTCAGCTGCACCTCGCTCGTTTGCATATTTTGCTCTTTTGCGACAAAGTTTGCACTATAAATGTAACGTTGGATTGTACAATTAGGATATTTGTGACGACACCATGTGTCCATCATTGCGTTTAATTATCGGTGAATGATCCTTTTGATGAAGTTTTGTGCTAAGCATACTTAAATAGACCTATTGAATTAAATTGAATTGAAAATCGTTATTAAAGATTATACAGAGTTGTAATGAGAAATTGATTCAGGACAGTTATACCATAAACTTATGTTCAAGTCGTGCTCTAGTTTATAAGCCTACTTAGCTTTCCTACCACCACACTAATTGTCTCTATTGTTGGGGGTGGTCAGCAGCCTTCACTATCAATATTCGCCAGTGTCGTCGGCCAATAAAAGCGTGATGGTAGAAGAGTCCAGTAAACTCTAAGCTAAAGTAGAGATATGTAAACACTCGTCAACCTTCTTCTTGTTTTGTTGCTATGGCAGCTGGCCATATAAAGGAGGAAGTGAACAAGAGGAGGTAGCAGGAGAAAAGAAAATAAAATAAGAGGGAAGCGTTGCATTAGACGCCGAGATATCGAATGGTCGATCGACTACTTGTGAGAGAGCGTGGCCCTCTGCTGGCGAGTGCAAGAAATGTCGCCACAGTCGCCATTCGGCTATACTCGCTTACTTCGACAATGCTACAGCCATTGTGCAATAGACACCAATATCTACACTTTCTATATGTATAATGGTCAACTTCTAGTATTTTTTAACGTATGCCACAGAATTGTAATGAACCTTTTTCGACAACTCTCAGTTTAAAACAATTTGAATGTATAAATACATACAAGCAGGCCCTATTACAGGATTAGCCTAAGAAGCTAGCTCAGCAATTTTTATACACTCAGAAATAGTCTATGTGCATAGATAATACTAATCAATTTGATAAAAGGAAGAATATCATTGATCTTCGTTTTGGATCTACTAGTTGGTCTCAATAGCATCGACAGTTTAAATGAACTATCAAATAATTGGAAAGTGTTCAACAATGGATTAATGTCACGTTTAATACAGAATCTACTGAATAAGCATTACCAACGAATTCTAGATCCACAGACAAACTCCATATTTGAGCTCAGTTTTAAACTTTAGTGGGCCATGGTAGCTATTAAATACCATATAAAATTGAATAAAAATATACATTATTCGCCCATTTTCCCTCCACTCAATAAGAGTCGTGCAATAAATTCGAGTTAATGCGTGCATGCTCGCTAATGCTCGGCATTCCAGGTTGTAGACTAGTTGGCCTTTGCCTCTAACTGCCCCTGTTATCGTCCCGCGATCTTCCGACTGCTAGCACACACTTCGAAGTTACAGAGGAAGTACGAGCCCTTTGTGACCCAAGATGGAAATCCTTGGAACTTGAAGCTGTTGTGATCGGCCGGGGAACAAGCAACTAACGGCGGTAGTGATTGACGAGATCCTTGGGAGCGATCGGTCCTTGAACATCCCTAGAACATGGAACGATCGTTGATTTTCTCTAATAACGACGACGTACACGTCGCCATGAGAGGATAAGAGGCGGTGGCGGTGTGTGCCTCAGCGGGTAGCTCGTTAAAACGTGATAACTTCATCTGCATGTAAATCTAATAGGGTAGACGAAGTTGCGAGGACATCAAACCACCGTTAACCACCATCTACACCATAAACCAGCAAGACGACTCGGCGGCGGGCACCTTAAGGTTGGTTGGAAAGCCACGACCTTAACCGTCAGCACGTACGTCACTGCTTAATTCTCGTGTAATAAGACCTAATCCCTAAGGATGTCGTCGTCGTGACTCGTGTGGAGGACTTTGGCAGAGCCTGTGACGGGGATTTCTCTTGGCGCGTAAGGCCGTTCCGCCTTGAATGAATGCGGTTAATTATATTTGCCAGCACGCGTGTGCGTGCATGGGATGATTTAATTCGCTTCTGGCTAGCGGTTTGTTGCATAGATGCGTGAGATCAACGCGGCTTTGAGGGGACTGTTTGTTAACGAGTGACTCTGACTTCTCTACGATGCAAAGAAACATAATATCTGAAACCAGGGATCGTGAACCCTGCGGTCTCTTGGATTACCAACTATAAGCCTTTTGCGTGTTTGTCGGCAAATATTTAATTCGCCATGTACAGAGTGAGTCGTATAAGACTTGAAATGTACTTGAAACTGATGGTTGCATTGAAAAAGGCTTCAGACACAACGAATGGTTTTGTGTGGATGCGTGAGATGACATAATAATTGGATTAGCTGGAGATTAAGAAACGCGATTCGTCTTTGGATAACTGATTGAAAAGTACTTCAAACTTAAATAAATGAAACAATAAATTACACAGTTATTATACGTACTTCAGGTTTGAATTCATGGTTGGCTTTGTGCAAATCAGATTCGAAATACCATATATGAACATGCATTATGTAAGGGGGCGTGACAACAATGGAATTTTGTCGATATATTTATTTTAAACAGTTCAAATAGTTTTTAAAACAAATAACTTCATTATAAGTTACGAGTAAAATGAAATTTTTAGTTTGAATAAAATTAATGACGACGAAAATAGAAATTCAGATATTTTGTCATCGATTCAAAAAAATTGCACAATCTAGATAGATTATATAGTTCTATATTTTAACAAAGATTGAGTAGCTCATTATGTCACTAAACATAAATATAATATTAACAGTGTAGTGTGCATACATCTAAATGCAGTGTACATATAATTTCTATATATTCAATTAGAATTTTAAAAACAATATTATATAGATGTTACTTTTGACGAGTTCTTTTAACTACTTTTCCAACAAAAATTTCAAGCATAATTTAAACTGATAAGAGAAAACTTTCTTTCAATTGTTGTATTTAAATGGTGAGAGTCAGAGTAGAGGTACATTTGAATTAAGTATAGCGAAAGTAAAAAGGTGCAGCTGGGTCGTTGGAATTCTTAACTTGGGAATTGGTATACATATAGGTTCTTTTCACTAGAAATTTAAATGACTAAAGAATACGTAAAACATTTGAAATGTCTTACTGCTTCATGAGTCGTAAGAGATAGTTATGTTAGTTCTTATTTTAGCGCAAATAGTACTAAGTAATACTGATATGTAGTTACTGCTTTTATATTATTAACGTTTGGTTTATTTTGTTTTGCAGTTCCAATTATTTCTATCAGTGGTGTGGTAGGCAAGAAAGTGAAACTTCCTTGTGATATTCAAACTGCCGACAACGACGAAGTAAGCATGGTGCTTTGGTACAAGGAAGGTGGTGGCCAACCAATTTATAGGTAAGCCATCAAACACATTTTATTCATTAAACATCTTTCTAGGGATTGAATCTGAAATTTTAATTTTAGCTTTTACTTACAATACTAAGGATAAAAGTTAATTTCTCTTTAAAATCCCGCAAAATTTTCATTTTTATATTTTTTTATTTTAAATTAGATTCGATCCCAGCATAAACTGTCAAAGTTTAAGAAAATTGTTCCTTTTCTTGCAATTGAATATATGTAATATATTATGCAATACGTAAAGAGACATCGTCAAAGAGGTTAACAAGATTCTGCATTAATTGAAAAATAATCAAAAAAAATTATGTTCTGTAATTTAACCTCTCATCACCAGAAAATCACCAGAAAAATTAAAGTCAAGTTTTATAGTTTTTTTGTTTAATTTATAAGTATCAACTACCTTTATCTAACCAGATAAATGATATAATTGGGTAAGAAGTGATTCTGCGTCCAAAAGTAAGTCAAAAAAGAAATATAACATTTTTTCGTTCGAGGCTTCGTTTCCAAGATAATTAAATTTGAAGATTGGTCTGACGTGTCTGACCATTGCTCGCTATTTCTACTTGCGTCGAAGTCCAAGTCGTACTCTACAGCACGCATACGCGACGATTTTTAACCCGTAAATGTAAAAATGTGCTGATTTTAATTTATACGGCTTGATAAGGAGTGAGTGGCCTCATAATTGTGAAACATGACATCAAGAACTTGTGACGAGTCAGACTCGTCATTGTATAGCAAGGAATTAAAAGTCCATTTTCTTGAAAACGAAGTTCCACGTGGAAAAATGGTATTCCCTCTTTCTGATGTACTTTTTCATAAAGAATCACCTGGTTGTATCACTCGTCCGGATGCATTTTGCATACCCGTGAAGAAACTTGGCCACAATAATACAAGATGCACGATAGAATTCTGCAACGGGCGGGCTTAGGAAATGATGGTAGACCAGTAATATCCACAAGGCCGGACCGTGACGTCATTTGATGTATTGGCACATCCGACTCTGGCCTACCCAGGCCCACACGCTTACCCAAGCGATCCGGAACGTCATCACTTTACCCGAATCGCTCGGCCATCCGAGTCGGGTCGTACCCTTTCCACCAAGTTCGTGTTACCCGACGACTCACGTAGCCATATCCATGTCACATGACTCGCAAGCAGAGGGCAAGGCCTTCAATCTCATATCGAATTATCGTCATGGTTGAACTAAATGTCTTTTAGACAATTTTGTGTTAAGAGGATCTTCTACTGTAATCCGTCAAAAAATTCGATTTTTTTTTGCATTTTCTTAAAGGATGTTGCCCTAGAAATATGTGTGCAAAAGCATATCACTTAACTCCTAAAATTAACAAAGGTTTGAACGGTTTGATCCTTCTGTTCAGATACGTTTTTTTCAAAAATATACTTTTTGAATTAGCTTCCATGATATCTCAAGATCTACTGGACCGATTTCGTTCAAATTTGGTGTATATCTTCAGTACATGTGTCGCTATAGTTCGTACTAAAATGAAGTAAAAATCATTATTCTTTCTATTTTTTTTCGCCTGCTAAAGTTAAAAATAAGGAAAAATCAACATTTCAAATACAAAATGCTGCCATTTTTTTAATTATCAACTTTTTTCATTACTTATAGTACCAGCTATAGAGCAATATATCCTAATTAAGAATCTTTTTCATTTTTTTAACTTAGACTAACAGAACGGCTGGAATCATGGAAGCCATTAGAACACTTTTTCGGAATGCGACTGCGTACGAGGCTCTGTACTGCTATTAATTTTGACTATTTCTCGTTGTAAAAATTTGTGAATATTGTGTAGAATAGAAGAAGTAAAGAACTTGCGTAGTTTCATTATAAAAGAATACCAAAAAAGACGTAAAAAAACGCATGTTACAGTAGAAGACCCCTTAAATAATTTTCATGTCAAATCGAAAACTTTTTGTAGTAAGATTCGAGATTTTATTTAAATTCGGATTCACTGTATTCTTTAACGATATTTTATAGTACCCAGAAGGATTTCTCATAATTTTGAAAATTATTAAATCGCTGTTTGAACAATAATGCTAGAGAATGAAGAATTTGGAACATAGCAAACCATTTTATTTGCAGGCTAACAATAATTCGTAGTACGTTCATAATTTTTTAAAGTGGCCATTGTTGAAAATGCAATCAGCCAGGAATGCAGCAATCTTAATGGTTTTTGCTTCACAATGCAGATATTTTAGAACCAAAGCTCATATGCAAGTGTTAAAACCTTCGTTATTATTTTCTGTTACCTCGTATACATTTTTATCATGAAATGTTAAATTGTTCGTTCACTAAACGAATAATTGCTTTCATAACATCATAATTTAGTGGTAGCAAATGACTAAAAGACTCAACTTCACTCTCTGCTTATGTAAGTCGCCATTTGCACCAACTTTCTGCTCATTCAAGACAGTTGTGATATAGTGGACTGTTATCAATAGGTGACATATGATAAAACGTTACTCATGTCGCTTTGTTCATGTCCTCTATTGAATTCGGATTTCCTCTAGAACTACCGACAATTATAGTGTATTTATTTGTACCAAAGAAATTAAAACGATAAAAGAAATATATAATAAAATAAGTGTTTTACAGAAAAGTGTGGTAAATTTTCAAACATTCAGTCGAGTAAATTTTTTCCAAGTTTCATTAGAAATTATGACTGGGTCAATTTGACTGCTTTGGTAGTTCTAGCGTTAAACTATAATATAAGTGGTCAATTTACCAATTTACCAATTTATTCGATCACTGAATTTACCTGATCCTTTTCCTATGAATTCCTTTATGAGCTTCTTTTTATAGCTCGCAGACGAGTGTCCATTCTTGTTTGCTCACTGTTACGTCTGCGTAAGGATTTATCTTCAAAATTGCTTTCCAACGGACTTATAGCTTGCGTATGGCCTGTATATCAGTCCATCAGTAAGGCAACTTTAACAAGCTCTACTTTAGATGCAAAGATATTCAATGTCAAATATATGATCGATCGAGTACTTGTGAGACAGATACAGATTGAGCGTAGCCCTCTAGTGCCGAACACGAGAAGTGTCGCCACAAATCCATGCAACTTAACTTCGATGATCCTTAGAATTTTAAAATTTCCTATTAACTACATATTCTTCAAATATTAAAAAAGTAAAAAAGTACAAAAGAATAGACTGTTTTGAAGTTCCAGATCGAAACTCTTAATTAGATTCTCATGCGGTCTTTTTATAAAAACAGATGACAACAGTGGCCCTCTGTTCTCGAGCAGAGACTTCTTTTCTCCAGCGTGCATGTCGGAGAAAAAAACGTTAGAGAAATGCGCGACATTAACAAAAGGAACAAACACAGGATCCCACTAAAGCAGATAATAAATAAATTCTTCCTCATGCCCTTGGAATCCGGTATAAGTCCATCCCCCGAATTCATCAGAAACCTTTAAAAACCAGCTCGATTACAAAGACATCGTACTGCGTTTAGCCACGATCTGAAATTCCCCCGAAACCCGATAATCCAGGAATATAAATTACTTGGAAGAAATAAAAAGGGGAGCGGCGTACGGGGCGTGGATGCGGAGGATGGTCCAGAAATTCCACGCGTTATTTTCCGCGGTGAACTTCATTTGCTTCCCGACTCGCCGTTTCGCTTCCGCGGCCCGTGAAATTTTGCATATAGAATGGTGCTCTTACCCCGCCTTACCCCGTATCCGCCGATTCGAGAAGAAGCGCGACGCGGTTCACGGGGTGGGTGGCGTGGCACAAGTGAGGTCGTCGGCGTTAGTGCTCGTCTGGTCATATTTAAGAAATGTAATAAAGTGTAAGATATGTGGCTGGGGTGGCGATGCATCGTCCCCGGGATCGCGCCTCTGCTTTCACCCCTTCCACATTGGGCAAGGGGTGAATCGGGCGGCCGAGGCATAAGTCGTCTCTTGTTGCAAAGTCAGTTTAATCCTCGCCGCGAGAGGGGAAAGTTTAAATTTAAAGGCGGACAGCGACCCGTGCGCCAGCTTAACGAGCGCCTCCCCCTTGTTTCGCTCAACCCGCTTCCGGATCTAGCAGTAAAATATTTATTAGAAGACATAGTGGCTCGCTTATCATATACGCGGCAGACAGTCAAGGAAATAAACAGCGAGACCGCGCATGCCTCACCGTGAATATCATTTATCGCTTTTCCTCCCCGCGCTCCCCTCGATTTGTTCCGGGCTGTTTTTTACAGTCGAAAAGAAGTAAGATTATCAAAATAAAAATGGGCATCCCGATTCTCGTTTTAGAATTGAACAGAAAATTCTTGTCTTCTGTTATTGAGCATTTATAAATTATCTGATAATCTTATACATTGATGAACTTTCTAAATATTTTAATGAAATTTCTTTTTTTAGTATGGAATTAGAAATTTTCTTGATGGTGTGAAACGCGATTTATTTTCACATTTGACGTCAGTGATTATCGATTTTTAAGGAAGATGTCAAATTCAGGGATTTTTTAAAGTGTAAACGGAATTATACATATATATTTATATCTAATAAATGGATAATGCAAGTATTCAAATAAGAAACTAGTATGCGAAAATGTTATATAATATTTATAATAAATTCTGCATGATTGAAGCATGAATGTTGGGTTTAAAAATAATGTTGTATTTGTATGAATAAATTTTCTTTTAGTATGGAATTAGAAATTTTCTCGAAAGTATAAAATACGACTTATTTTCACGTTTGACGTCAGCGATGTATAAATTTTTAATGAAGAATTATAATTCAGAAATTTGAAAGTGAAACAGAAGATGAATAAATATTTTATAAACTTTATAAAAATTACTTTATTTGTATTATATATAAAATAAAAATTCAAATAAAAAACTAACATAAGAAAAAGTTACATAATATTTATAATAAACGGTGAATAATTGAAGCATGAATGTTGGGTTTAAAAATAATATTGTATTTGTACGAAAAGTTTTAGCATGATTAAAGAGCACGGATATTTAATCATCCTTC